CAAGGTGAAAACTCATTCAATATTCTGTTAGGGTTTTCTTTTGCTCTGAATAAGCACAATTTTGTTAGGGAGAACATCTTTCAGGAGTCCGTTGGCATACCGATCGTTGCTAATGGGGATGTTACCACACTCGATCAAGCCATTGAAATAGCGGAGAAGACTGGAGTAGACGGTGTGTAATTCTCGTTCGTATCATTCCATGGGGCGGAAGTGGTGTAGTGGCAAGTGGCACGCTTACCACGCGAGCGGTCCGGGGATCAAATCCTGGGTCGTGAGTCGCCCGGGCCAACCAAGCCTTCCATCCCTCCGGGGTCGGTTAATTGGTACCAGACTTGTCTGGGAGGATAAAAACACTGACTTGTACATCGGCTGGCCCCCGCAAGTCATTGTATAGGCCACATCGCATTCAAACGCCACTACGAATGTACAAATGGAAGTAGAATGCGTGCCGCATCCCAAAAAGGGATTGATCAACGGCAAATGCTTTATCCTTTATCCTTTATTATTCTAAGTAATCATTCCATGTTTTTTTTTTGTAACAGCCCCACATAAAATTGGTGAGGTAACAGCGGTCTATAATGAAATTGTGGATGCCGAGTTGACCGAAAAAAAAGAAGCAAAGCAAAGTGCCGATGAACCTTAAAATGAGGGCTCCCTTTCTTCGCCTTTGAAATGAAGGAGGCCCGTGTCGGGCGTTGTCGAATTTGCTAGCTCCTTGGCTCTGTTAACCCGCGCGTATTTGAACTAGCCGCTGTTCGTAATCCACGTTGCGTGTCATGGGGTGTGCGCGAGGTATCTCGTCCATTAGCTCACATTAGCCGTCATAGCTCACTTGTAAGGCCTAGCGCATTGTCGCGCATTTTCGAGCCGCAGCAATGGCACAACTGTGATATTCGCGGGTACTCTATCCTATCCACAGAATAGATTGTTCGACATGGCCCATCTGGGGTTGTTGCTTTGAGCATCATCAGAACACGGTGAGTGATCTAAGCGATCAAGTTTTGCGGTATTTTGTGACGAAGGAGTGTCGCGTTATTATTCCTTCTGCAGCTAGTAACCAATTTGTTCTGCGCGGCGGTCCTACAGTACCTTCAAACGACCCCGAATGTCCGAATGTCTCACTATTCTAACCTCATTGTTTAGACAGTGTCCATGTTTGCTCTATGACCTCCCATATTTCAACTTTAGCTCTAATGAAAGGCATACTCCATATTTCCTCTTCTCTCCCCATCTCTGAGCCACATGGATACCCGGCTGGGGATCGAATACAACACTCTTCGTTTCGCCCTGGCAGGGAACGTTCTGCAGCCCTTAGTTCTGCCAGCCTCCCCCTTGACTCATGGATTTGACGTCTGGCATTACTCGTAGCAGAGCCAGCCATGCTTCTTTACCGATCTGCACTCGCTTCGGTGTAGAGAACGAGCAAAAGACGGAAAGTCAGCCAAGCAGAGGATCATAGTCACAAGTGGGAAATGCGACGCGATCTGAATTCTGATGATACCGTAAACCCCCTGATAGACAAAATGATGCCGTAGAAGAAAGGCTTAATCAACCGAATATTGAGATTACGCAGCTTTTTCAGGAGTTATGGCTGCCAATGGACTCCTCTACAACCCTGCCATGTTTGCGGGCTATGAATACACTCCAGCAAGTTGTGTGCGCGATTTTGTAAGTGCTTATGTTAGTTCATTTGTTTTCTTTGTGAGTTTTATATTTAGGTTTATGAAAAAATATTTGGCCATCTTGGTGCTAAAAATCTGGAAGTGAAGCCCATATCCAATCCCTAAGTTCGAGCCCCCGGGGATTTTTTGTTTTTGTTAAAACATGGATAATAAAACTCAAAAATGAATAAGAAGAAAAATCAAAAGAAAAAGCAAAAAAAGAAGGAAAAAGAATCAAAGTCCTGTTTAATAAAGAAATTCAAATGTAGCAGACATGATAGCTAAGAATTATTCGAAATATATAAAATGGGCGTGCTATCGCATAAACGGAGGTTCCCTTATATTAAGCCCGGGAGAGGGCAAAAACAATGAGCAAAAAATTATAAAAGATTAAAAAATTGCTCACGCAGTGTGGAGTCTCTCTCTCTCGCCTCATAGCCCCGTTTTAAAGAAAAGGAGATTTTTGAAGCGATCTTAAGTTCATTGATCACACATGCCCTCCTTATCTTGCGATTAGCCGTACATAAAAATATTTCGGGTCAAATTGTTTTACATTTGTTGAAAATGAAGCTTCATCAACATTTGATCTATATGCTTCGAGAGCTCCTCACTCCAGCTCAACGGCGTGTCTTTCATGAGTTGTCAAGTCGACCAGCTATTGAAGACTATTTGGATAATGTTTTAATGATAAATGATATTGATTGATAGCTGTTTTTGTGCCTGTTGGAGCTTCTAAAGCAACTCTTACCTCTTTACACACCCAGGAATTATAGCTCTTATTTATTCATAATGGTACAACTAGTACAATAATAAATAATGCTTATGAAAAGACACATTAAAGTGGTGCGTTCCTCGCGGATCTCAAGGCATTTGAAGATTTTCCGATCTCGGGGACTGTGACAATTCCACAATAGTGGTACATTTCTAGGCCGATGTCAGACTTTGCGAATCGAGCGATTCGCTAGCGTCTGCGGTCGCGTCGCGGCCAGTGAATCACTCAATTGGCTGGTACCGCAACGCGACCGCGGACGCTAGCGAATCTTTCGATTCGCAAAGTCTGACATGGGCCTAATAGGCGTGAACCACCACGTGATAACAGTGACTAGTATGGAAAATGCACGTCGAAAATGGGAACAACAAGACATAATCGAAAATGTATGACGATATTCAAAATTGATAAACTTCAGGAATTGCTGAAGAACTCGTAAATGTCATGAGAGTGAGCTTCTCCCACTGGTGCAGCTCACATTGTAGAAAGACCTTTATGATCAGTATTGAGAACGACTGGCTTAGAGCTACAGCGGAGGTTCCTTGACAATACGTCGTTTATCTTCCACGGGTGCCTTCGTCGTGATTTCTTCTGGCTCGGGATCAGGCGATATGGTTGTTTCTACTAAACAAAAACGTTTGGAAATTTCCTGGGACCATCGACAAATACATACCATATGCTTGTTTATATGATGCTCCATATGTTCAACAGTGTATGTCACGGCAATGTACCAGGCGGCAGTAAGGGAACTAGGATATCTTACCGAGATCAATGCTAAGAAAGTCCACTGCATATGACTAGAACAGGGAGCAACATGGGTGGTTGCATTGGGAGGATCGGTAGCGTGTTTATGGAAGAAATTTGAGGAGGAAATTCTCTGGATGTCGCCTTTTTTCGCGTCTTCGCAGTTTCAACTCCTCCTTATAGTCCTCTCATTTCCTCTCTACCGTTGCATACGCGTTTTGAGCTCGACAGAAGCAGCTAATTCCCTCGACCGTTGCATACGCGTTTGAGCTCGAAAAGTAGCTATGAAGTTGTTTAAGTCGATGGTCGGATGTCTGCCGGAGCTATTTCGCGTCCCCAATGGGGGAGCTAAATCGAAATGGTGTAGTGGGCAAGTGGTCCGGGGTCGGTTAATTGGTACCAGACTTGTCTGGGAGGATAAAAACACTGACTTGTACATCGGCTGGCCCCCGCAAGTCATTGTATAGGCCACATCGCATTCAAACGCCACTACGAATGTACAAATGGAAGTAGAATGCGTGCCGCATCCCAAAAAGGGATTGATCAACGGCAAATGCTTTATCCTTTATCCTTTTAATGGAGGGCTAACGGCGGGGTGGAGAGCCTCATAGTTTTTGAGCCGACTGGATGCCACGGTTGACCATGGGTGGGATACTAACGATAAGAGACATGTGCAGACCATTCAAGCCGTCAGGAATCAAAAGTGTTGACTATCTCTGAGATGTCAACGGATACATATCCCTGTTAGAGTGCATATAAGGATATACAGTCCACACTTCAACATAGAAATGAGCTACGGTAATTAGTGCATAAAAACCTCACCAAAATCGTAATCGACCAATAACGGGAATTCGCGTGAAGATCGACTTTCGCGTCCGAATTTCACTCCAGAGATTTTCATTTGGTAACTGAAATGGTGCTCATGAATCTGCAACAAAGTTCTTACTGCAGTGCGATGGATTATCCTTTATTGAAAGATACCTGAGTCTTGGCAATAGCGCATCTTCGCATGCATCAAATAAATGAATAGACCAGGTAAACGTACAGGGTGGTCCAAAATTCCAAAATTATGAGGACCAAGACATTGTGTCGTTAAAAACGCATAGTAGCTTGATGGAACAAACCAACTTCTGGGAAGTATTTGTAACTCTTACCTCAAAGTAATTCCAGAATAGAATTGAGATCTGCCACTTGCCCCGTTAACACGAGCCTTCAGATGAGGGGGATGGCGCGTGCGGTGGCACGCAACTGAGGCGTGTCCAAATGTTTCCAGGCCTTCTGCTCTGCCTTCTTCAGGGAATCAAACTTTTGTGGGGCATTTATTTACAGAAATCTAGAGCTATCAGATGGAAGGCTT